CGACGAAGGGCGGCGGGATGGGCGGCACAGCGCCGGCGAGACATGGCGGCGCCGGCGATGACCGGCGGGAGGAGCTGCGGGCTCGGGCGCTCTCAGGCAGCGGGGCAGGCGCGCGGGCGCTCGGCAGCGGCGGCCCGATCTGGCCCGGGGCGGGCCCGGCGGCAGGGAGGAGAGAGAGGAGCGGCGGCGCTGACATGCCGCGCCCGGATTCGTCCGGTGCGGCGGCTGGACATGTCCGGTGTGGAAGAAAGTGTTCGGTGGCGCGAGGTAGGAGGAGCTAGGGTTTGGACTGCGCGAAAAATCGGGGAGAGCCACATATATATAGGTAGAGGGAGCTAGGAGAGTCCAAATGAGGTGCGGTTTTCGGCCACGCGATTGTGATCGAACGACCGAGATGATGGAAGAGGTTTAGGTGGGTTTTGGGCCACTTTGGAGGGGTGTTGGGCTGCAACACAAATGATGCCTTTTCGGTCCCTCGGTTAACCGTTGGAGTATCAAACGAAGTCCAAATGACACGAAACTTGACAGGCGGTCTACCGGTAGTAAACCAAGGCCGCATGACAAGTCTCGGTCCAATCCGAAAACGTTTAACACCCGCACACGAAAAGAGGTAGAAAGGGACACCGGGTGACATAGGAGCGCCGGATTGCAAAACGGACAACGGAGAAAATGCTCGGATGCATGAGACGAACATGTATGCAAATGAAATGCGCATGATGACATGATATGCAATGCATGACACGCAAGCAAAGACAAGGCAACGACAGCGAATAAGCGGAGGACACCTAACACATCGGTCTCGGTGCGTTACAAATAAGATGAGAACAACTTACGGAAAAGGGGGCGCAAACTAGTTGATCAAGAAGTGATCCTAAACACCTCACTATGAATCATTTATAACCCCACCATGTCGTCTTTTTGTTTGCATACCCAAAAGAAGAAACAATCACGGTAAGCACATGTTTGACTAAGTTTTTGTTATTAGTTGAAATTGTCTATGCCTGACATTATAAATTTCCAAGTCTTCCGTAACCGTGGACACGACTTTCCGAAAGGAATTAAACCTAGAAGGGTGCTCCAACTGTGCACTATATATTCCTCATGCATAACCCGTTCCTCCAAGTTCAAGCCTATGAGAGCCACTGTGTAAGAACACACTACATTCCAGGAGTTTGGAGTTAACAATTTTCTCTAGCTAATGTCAAACTGACCCAGAAGACCTCTCGACGAGTTGACATTCGAATCAGAGCCAAACGTATCTCTAGACCCGGTCCCAGCCGGATGGAAAAGCTTATAGTTAGCCAAGCCCGGTTTCCCGAGGATGCCTCCGCACACTGCCTGTTGCGGATCAACGCTTTTCTTAGACGCTGGCCCAAGTTGTTTTGAAAATATCTCGAGGGGGTGACCGTCTATGCAAGTTTTATGTTTGAAAATTTTAGTACCAATGTTGGGCCTTCTGGAAGAGTTCAACGCTAGATAAAGGAGCTCAAGGGGGTCCCATAATACCCCACACATGGTAGAATGCGCTCATCAATGAACATAATAGCCAGAAGTACGAAAACTAGGGTTGACCAGAGTGGAAAAAATCACCAGGGCATAGGCTTGAGCCTTCCACCCTTAGTCAGGTATATAATCAAGTTTAACAATTAAACATGATAATAATGATAAGATATCCATGTTGTCACATGGAAAACCCTGCACTTGCAACTAGCAACACTATAAGAGGGTCTGAGCAAGCGGTAACATAGCTAATCAAAGGTTTTGCTAGGCAGTGAAGGTTAGAGATTGTATCATGGAAATTGGAAGGCTTGAAACAATGTGGCCCCATTCAGGATCTAACCAAGATTAGGAAAGTGCTACCTTGTATGAGTAATGCAACTGCTGGCAATTACAGTAGTTGTCAACTAGTAGGAAGTTAATATGGTACCAGCTTAGCACAGGAACTCAAATTGATAGTGCTCTCAGGGATTACAACATCAAAACAGCAAACGATCTGAAAATTGCATACAATTCGTCGAGTAACAAATAGGAGGAAGAAAAAGGAAGATACATACAGATCTATTTCTTCTCACCGACCTTACAGAATATAACAACCATGATAAGCTTAAAAAACAACCATACATGGTAATTCGCTACAATGCAGAGCCTGTACAACATATCATAAACAACAGCTGCTGGACTCTAAAAAAACAATCATCATGTCATCAAATAACAGACATGCAATCAATCTCTGTCTTTACGATGTAAATAGTTGGCTCCCAAGGGTGATGATGGCGGTTCCGTCACCCATAATCGTTGTTAGAGACATCTCCGTCTCGAGAATACGGTCTAGTTCAGCCGCAACCAGCCGAATCTTCGGCCGCCTTCTGGAGGATGGGTTCAGACACTGGAAAGCAAGCCCAACAAATTCTTTCATACCTTCTGTCGTGAAACCGCCACCTAACCTTGGGTCAATCAGTTCATTTGAACTGAAATGTGCTTCCAGCTTTCAAAAAGACAACAAAATGCCTGTCAGTGGGATGTTAGGATATACTACTGTCTAATCAAATGGTGCACAAGCAACATCAGTTCTCTTTATAATTGTTTTGACGACTTTTCTTATAAAGTTATATCTCAATCAAGGTAGGAAAATGCATATCAAATGTCATGGACTACTATTTAATATAAAATGAAGAAGAATTCAAGCAATCTTACTGAATGTGACATACATGCTTCATCATAGCAAAAGGAGTGAAACTGTTTCTAGACAGATATTTTCTAGCTGTTAGTGAGTTGGCAAAATCTATGCTCCATTGGTTTAGCAAGGCAACATAGTTATCATTTTGTCAATGTGCACACAACCTGATCATAGGTTTATCACTGGAACAGTGAATCAAAGATTCCATCCTTTCTCCTAACAAAAAAGGCAGCAGAAGGTTCACAAAATCATAGGTAGTCTGACAACTTGCTAAAAAATCATAGGCAGTCATTTTGCTTGCTGAAGACTTCTTTCAGAGAGGCAGTAAAAGTTCATAGCATTCTCTCTAGGCAGCTTACAGCTACATGCCAAAGGAAATTACCCAGTGGGCCAGGGATTCTCTGGATTCTGGAGGTTGCAAGCTAGCAGCTTCTCTGCCAGTAATTAGCTCCAAAAGAAACACTCCAAAGCTGTAGACGTCGCTGCTTTCAGAAAACTGCGCCACCGAGTGTGCTCTAAGAACAAACATGCACAATGCGTTATGAGTCACAAGGATTATTACAGAGAGGATTAGACTGATCATCCCACAAATGAAAGACACAGCAACAAAACAACTAGATGACATTTTTCCTAAAAATGAAACTGAATGATACGTTTCGTGCACAAGCTTTTCGAACATATCAATCTCCAATGGGGACATGGCGGTCTACATATTTGTTGTCTGGTCTGAAAAACAGAAGATAAAAGGATACGGTACTTGAACTTACTCGGGATCCTGGTAGACACTGCTGCTAAACCCATGCGATGACCCGACATCTTCATGTCCTCTGAGTAACCTAAAAAGTCCAGCATCAGCCACCTTCGCAATAAAATTCTCATCGACCAGTACATTGCTCGTCTTGAAGTTCTTGTGGATCAAAGGAGGCATAAGACTATGCAGATGATTCAGACCTGCAAGTCAAACTGCAGTTATACTTGCTATTTTCTAAATTCATAACAGAAAAAAAACAGCCGACATCTCATAGTTGTACTACCTTTAGCTGCACCAATGGCTATTGCTAGCCTCTGTTTGAACTCAAGCCGTGTCATCGAGCCTTTCCCTGAATCTAGTAAAAGGTGTAAGGTTTCAGAAAAGAAAGTAAAAAGCCACAACCTAATTTCTGACGATAACCACATATTACCATATAGATGGCTACAGACATTGCCATTGGGTGAGTACTCAAACACTAGCATTTGTAGACCTCCTTCCTGGCAATAACCAATCAGAGTTACGATGTTCCGATGACAAATCTCTGAAAGCCTCCTAACCTGCATAATGCAAGGACACCAAAGAAGTTAAGAATGCCAAATTTATTAGGCCGCAACAGATGCATTTATTTAGCTGTCCCTGTCTAATTGAGGCAAGCTTTTTTCAATAGCAAACAACAACAGTAATGGACAAGAGACAGATCTTCCAAACTTACCCCACAAACAAGTCACTCGACTAAAATGTTCACTATCTAACCATAAATACGGCACAATTTAGGCAATGCCGTTAACTGTTGTATCCAATGTAATTCAAGACACTGAATTGTCAAGTCAGCATCGCATAGAACATCAAAACCAGAAACTTCGACACGGTATGACGAAACAGTCAGACATAAAATTCAGGAGACCAGATTTACTCTGGTCACAGGCATGGCAGAATGGAGGTAAATTATACTGTATCCTTACAAGAACAGCAATGTCCCTGCATTTGCAGTTGCATCCAAATAGTTTACCTCGTCGGAAAACTCCAGCCTTGGTGCTCCCGTGCGCCTCTTGATGGCCACGACTGAACCATCAAAAAGCAACCCCTTGTACACCAGGCCAAAGCTCCCGGCGCCAACCAAGTTGGCCTCGCTGAAGTTGTTGGTCGCCTGCGCCAGCTCCGAGAGAGAGAATTGTCTGGCGCCCTGACGCTCTGGCGCCGAGGAACTTCGGCCCCCCTTGCCCCACTCCACTGATGCCACCAGCAATACAGAGACATTGCATTAGCAGAGCAGAGCTGAAAATTTGCCGGAGAAAGAAAGCAGCAGCATTGTCATCCATGGACGGTGCACGGAACAGCAACCGCAATTCACCTAGGGTGGAAGGATCCGAGGAGCCGGTTTCGGATGTCCTGTTACGCCGCGCGCGCGCCCGGCACCAAAGCGCGATCACCACGGCCACCACGATGAGCAAGGCGGCGCCACCGGCGGCAATGCCGGCTATAGCGGCGATCGACAATGACATCCGGATGCCCGTGACATCGAATCAGCAAAGTCGTGGAGGGGGGATTTTCTTTTCCTGCCTAGTGTCGGAGTAAGCAGCAGCAGCGCTGCACTTGAGAAATGATCAAGCGAAGCAGCGCTCCCAAATCTAAACCCGAAGCACACACTGGTCCTCACCTACCCCCAAATCGGTGGGTGGTATAGCTCCGGCACGCATGAATGCAGCAGCGATATCTTTCTCCGATTTGGCGCCTCAATTGGGCAATGCAGCTACATATGCACGCATCTAAGCTGTAGGGCTAGGGGCAGGACCAAGAAGAAGAGTGGACCGGGCGTGGGCGATCAATCAAGAAGAAGCAAGAAGGGGAGGAAGAGGATGGTGGATAGGGTGCTAGCTGCGGTGTGTGGTGGTGTAGGGGAGGCGCTGCACATGGCAAATCGTTGGATCCCTCCCTCCATCCCTGCGGCGGCCGCCCCTTTTGTCAAAGGAGAGGGGACGGCCCTCCCTCTTGCGCCATCGCCAGGCTCCCCCCACCCCCACCCCCACCCCATGTGTGTGTGCGCGTGTCGGGGGGCGTGTGCTGTGCGTGACTGTAGGGCCCGGCCGTCCCGCTGTGTGTGTTCTGGTGTGGAGAGAGAAGCTTGCTGCGTCGGAATCTTTCTTTCGTCCTTCTTTCACCGTCCTCTGCTCTCTCCTACTACATGGACATGGACATGGACATGGGTGGTGCCGTGCGTACGTGGTGCTGATGCATTTCGCCGGGAAAAAGCGGAGAGCGAGCTGAAAAGCGTCTCGGGACGAGATGGAGCGGGAGCAAAAAGGGTAAAAGGAGAGAAAGTGCGGTGGTTGGTTCCCACTTTCTACTCCGTAAGCAAGGAAAGCAGGGGAGTCTGCTTGCTCCGTAGGAGGCCATCTCTAATCGTTTTCACCGAGTATACCTTTTTTTAGAAGATTTTACCGAGTATACCTGGCCATGGGGAATCCGGTCCGGTCAGACCGGCCTTGCCCACGGACCGGCCTGGGCCTAAGTTTTGATCCCGAAGGCTTGGGCTGGCCAGGCTTGGGCTTAGCATATGTGCGTTCTAAGGAAGAGGCCCGACCGGCTTTTCCACTTACGGGCTGGTCTTGGGCCTAAAATCTAGGCTCAAAGGCCGGCCCAAGCCCGAGCCTAGGTTTTTTGTTGCGGGCTTTTTTAGGCCCAACCCGACTTCTGGCTAGGTATATCACCGAGTGATTTGGTAGGGCGAGCTTTGCTACATCTATGGGTCATTTCTTACGGAAAGGAGGTTACGAGTTGACAGGGTCGAGTTAAAATCAAGGAGTGAGTCAGTCAAAATCTAGAGGGGGAGAATTAAGAGGGCACATCACCCGATAAAATCAGTCGGTAGCAGTTTTCCGTAAGTGTAAGATTTTTGTACCCCAGTGACTCGTTCTGACATCTTTCTCTCAAGGGCAGCGCTACACAACGGTCTCGACGCACATCCACCCGATCTATTCGTGCATGGCCATTGGATTTGGCCCTTCCCCGCATCGTCTCCTTCCCTCGCACCGCTCGCGAGAAAAACAAGGGGAGGCACACCATCCCCCTCGCCACTGTTGTGGACGTGCCTGATGAGCTCCGACGAGGTCCCTCCCCCGTGGCCACCGGGATTGCATCACGACCGCCATTGACTCCAGGCGCGAGTCACCGTGAATGCAGCTCTTAAAACAGCCAAATCCAGCGCGTGATCGCCATGATTGCAACATCCCCAGCGTAAACCCCCTCCGGCTCACCGCGATCGTCGGCTTGCACCATCGTGTCCAACAAAAAAGATCTAAAAAGAGCAACAAATCCTCAGTGGTCGATTGAAGCAAAAACACTACGAGGTTCCAGCAAAAAAGGATATTGGTTCCATAAAAAACAAACTCTAGAGGGAGAACTTCGGTGGTTGATTTGTAGCAAACAAGATTGCTAGTCCCAGCAAAAATAAACTTAGCAGGAGACTCTAGAGGTTCGATTGTAGCAAATAAAAAAGCTAGTTTCAACAAAACACTGGTTCCAGCAAAAAAAACGTGTCGGCGGCGAGGGCGCACCCGGTTCTAGTACATCGCGTGGCTGATTGCAACAACTACTGATGTTGGTTCCAGCAAAATGGTTAGCCGATTGCAGCATAGGCTGCCATCGGTTTCAACGCAAAACATCGTGGAAGTTGTCCGTCTACATGAAACAACCCCCTCACCATGTGTAGTAGTGGGGGTTGTCGGTTCCAGCTTTGGGCAGGCCCGAGAACACCGCACCTCCCACTCTGTGCGTGCTCTTTCCTGGCAATTTTTTTGCTATTTTATTTTTGCATATCATTCCATCATAAGTATTGCATTGCATCATATTTATTAAGTAATTATTTGAATATTCTACTTCGCTCTTTTTTGTTTCTATTGTGAAACGCTCACCGGGGGGAAGGCTCCCCACTTGTGTATATTTCAAATTGTTGATGCCCCGAGTACACAAGAAAGGGATCACGCAATGCGTGAAGACATTAAGTTAGGCCACAAGCTAGAGTGATCCATTTTTTGGCTATCTTTAAGCCTAAGGGACCATAAAGTTAAATTGTTAACAATTTCTCTAAGAGAGGCTGAAATAGGGATGTCCATGTTTTGAAAAACCTTCTAGTTTCACGCATCCCAAATTTTCCAGAGGATTATTAGGATGTGAACTCATTGATCATGGATGGCAGCCGAGTAGGCATGCAAGAGGCCCGGATATTGGAGATTGGGTTAAACCCCCGGGAAATGGCTAGTTCCCGCCAAATTCTTAGGCTATCAGGACAAGAGATGAACAAGTGTTGCAAGTCTTCCTTTGGGTGGTTGCATCGCGGGCATGACTAGTCGATGTGAGTCTTGTGCTGAAGATTTGCTCACCTTTTTATGCGGTCTGAGTAGAGCAGACATCCAAACACAACAACCTTCTTGGGCACACGTGATTCCCAAATGGCCAGCAGGTGGGGGTTCGTGCCATGTGGGGATAGCATTTGGTAGACACCTTTGGTGGTGAACGGAGAGCCGTTGAGCAGAGCTCGAGCATCCAGTGTTGTCATCAGCGAGTGGCCATGTGATGTGTCTCCAACGTATCTATAATTTTTTATTGTTCCATGTTGTTATATTATCAATCTTGGATGTTTTATAATCATTTTATAATCATTTTATATCATTTTTGGTACTAACCTATTGACATAGTGCCAAGTGCCAGTTGCTATTTTTCCATATTTTTTATCGCAGAAAATAAATATCAAACGGAGTCCAAATGCCACGAAATTTTACAGAGAATTTTTATGGTCCAAAAGGAACACAACGGGCCCTGGCTGTGCCTGGGGGGTGCCCCGAGGGGGGCACAACCCACCAGGGCGCGCCAGGAGGCCAGGCGCGCCCTGGTGGGTCGTGCCCACCACTTTGCTCTATAAATACCCCAATATTCCAGAAACCCTAGGGGAGTTGACGAAATATTCATCCATCAGCCGCAGAGTTCAGAACCACCAGATCCAATCTAGACACCATCTCGAATGGGGTTCACCACCTCCATTGGTGCCTCTCCGATGATGCGTGAGTAGTTCTTTGTAGACCTTCGGGTCCGTAGTTAGTAGCTAGATGGCTTCATCTCTCTCTCTCTTGATTCTCAATACAATGGTCTCTTGGAGATCCAAATGATGTAATTCTTTTGCAGTGTGTTTGTTGGGATAGATGAACTTTGAGTTTATGATCATACCTATCTTTTCATATCCATGAAAGCATTTGAGTTTCTTTGATCTCTTTTATGCATGATATCTTATAGGCTCGTATTTCTTCTCTGATATTTGGGTTTTGTTTGGCCAACTTGATCTATTTATCTTGCAATGGGAAGAGGTGCTTTGTAGTGGGTTCGATCTTACGGTGCTTGATCCCAGTGACAGAAATGGAAACAACACGTATGTATCGTTGCTACTAAGGATAAAAGATGGGGTCTATCTCTACATAGATAGATCTTGTCTACATCATGTCATCGTTCTTATTGCATCACTCATTTTCTCCATCATGAACTTAATACACTAGATGCATGCTGGATAGCGGTCGATGTGTGGAGTAATAGTAGTAGATGCAGGCAGGAGTCGGTCTACTAATCTTGGACGTGATGCCTATATAAGGATCATTGCCTGGATATCGTCATAATTATTTGAAGTTCTGTCAATTTCCCAACAGTAATTTGTTCACCCACCGTTTGCTATTTTTCTCGAGAGAAGCCACTAGTGAAACCTACGCCGCCGGATCTTTCTTCTCATATATTTGCCTTTGCGATCTACTTTTCTCTTGCATTTATTTCCAGATCTATTAAACCAGAAATACAAAAATACCTTGCTGCATTTTATTTCTATTTATTTTATTTGCGATCTATCATTTAATTTACTACAAATTTATCTCACGTCCGTTTGCCAATCTTGAGGCGTCGTACCCCGAAAGGGATTGACAACCCCTTTAACACGTCGGTTTGCGAGGATTTATTATCTGTGTGCAGGTGTTGTTTACGTTGTGTTTCTTGGTTCTCCTACTGGTTCGATAACCTTGGTTTCATATCTGAGGGAAATACATACCGCTGTTGTTCTGCATCATCCCTTCCTCTTTGGGGAAATACCGACATAGCTTCAAGCGACATTAAAAGGAATTTCTGGCGCCGTTGGCGGGGAGGATCTTCAACGTTGATACGTCTCCAACGTATCTATAATTTTTGATTGCTCCATGCTATATTATCTACTGTTTTGGACTATATTGGGCTTTATTTTCCACTTCTATATTATTTTTGGGACTAACCTATTAACCGGAGGCCCAGCCCAGAATTGTTGTTTTTGCCTATTTCAGTGTTTCGGAGAAACAAAATATCAAACGGAGTCCAAACGGAATAAAATCTTTGGGAACGTGATTTTCTCACCGAACGTGATCCAGGAGACTTGTACCCTACTCCAGGGAGTCAAAGAGGAGGTCACGAGGGTGGGGGTGCGCCCCCCCTAGGGCGCGCC